ATGGGGCTGGCTGTGACAGGGGTGGCCTATGCCCATGACACCCATGGTTCAGTGCTCTCAGTCCTGGGATTGGCACTGCTGGGCACAGGGGTGTTGGGCATAGCTGGGAGCTGCATAATGAAGCGTTGCTGGTATTGGCACCTGCTGGGCTGGCGCAGGGGCAGCATCACCCTGCTGATGGATGAGCAGCTGCAGAAGGCAATAGTATGAAAGCCTGATTCTGACTGGTGCAGGGTGCTGTCCAGGTCCTGCATTCATCCAGAGTCCAATCCTGACAAGCTCAAGAATCCAGTCCAAATGATTTGCCCAACCAGGATTCCCCCATCCACAACTGGATCCAGAAAGGCACAGAAATCCAATTTGGGTTCTGCCTCCATCCGGAGTTCGATCTGGACCAGCGCACAGAATCCATTCCAGCTTCTGCCTCCATCCAGAATCACCAGGATCCTGCCCAGGACCCTCACATCTATCCAGAGTCCAAGCCACACCAGCACTGGGATCCAGTCCAGGTGTAATACCCTTCAACTTGCCAGTCAGCTTCCAGCAGACCAACCAATACTGCACCTCATACCTTTAGGTCCTGCCTTCTACTATTCAGGTCCCACCTCATGGCAATGCATGTCATTGTCCCTATACTGCTTAGCTTGGGGAGCTAACACTAGTGACCAGGGTGCTCAACCATCACCCCACCATCAGACATCATGACCCCCTCTGCTGGATTCAACCCTTCTCCTCCCCATGGGCCTATCTACTTCTGCAGGATACCTGGGCCAGCTGCCAGCTGCAGAAGGCCCACAACACCCTCTGGTGGGCAACCATGGTTTCAGCTGTGCATGCTACTTGCCCGGTAGTCCTGCACTGGGGAACAGGCCCCTTGATCAGCAGCTGGGCCCCTGTCCAGAAGCCAGCTCCATGCCCTTTGGGAAAAAGATGACAACTGGGCACACAGAAGCTGCAGTGGGGAGCTCTGCTCCCTCTCTGGATCCTGACAACAACTCCCCTAGGCTTGGTCATTTGAAGTGGCTGCTTCAGACCTGGGTGCTGCAGCCCACAGAGCTGAACCCCAAGCAGGGAACATCTGAGCTTCCCCAGCAAGGCCAGACAAAGCAGCATCTCTGCAGAACAGCCATCCAGGTGGAAGAGCCCAGGTTGAGCCGGGGGCTGGTTATAGAGGGACGCTTTGCCACACTGAAATGTAGCCCCCTGTGCAGCAGGAGCGTTGGCCTTTGCTCTTCTTTCAACACCAGACCTATGCCTTTGAATTTCCCTCTCCTGGGCCTGGCTCTCTTGTCAGCAGCTACAGACCTGTTACCTCAGGAGTCAGGGAAGGGGTTTCAGATGCACAATGTGTTTGCTGAATGGTGCAGTTTGGGACAACCGTAGCTGTCCCTGCAGCTGGGGTGAAATTGGCAACAAGTCAGCAAGGGGGGGGAATAAAACCCATTAATTTAATTCAATGAAAATATTGCCATTTTTTGCTTTGAAATGGAGTGGGACATGTCAGGGGCTGGTTATTGCCTGGCCCTGAGATGCAGCCACTACTCTGGTGGGGAGTGCTGCACTGTGAAAGTGCAAAAGGGGCAGTACTACTTGCCATGGGTTTTTGGAGAATCACATTTGGGGCTCAGTCTGAGGGAGGACTGTTGTTTCCAGCTGAACCCCTCTGCTGATATAACAACCCCCACTCTGAGGTGCCACTGGTGCCAGGCTGGCAAGACAAGTGCCGAGGTCCCTGTGGAGATGGGGGAGGGCCTGCCCTGCACAGCAAGGGAAGTCACCCACCCAATCTCTGCCATCTCAGTGCTCTCTGCATAAACAGCCAGTGCTTATCAGCCAACTGGCGCATTGCCAGGGGCTACCCATTGTCCCTGTGACTGTCTGAGTCTCCAGCATCCTGCACGGTGGGTGGGTGGGGGGCAGTTGGGGCTTTGACCCCAGAAACCTCCCCCTGGCTATCTGTATAACCCAGCTTTGCACTGCAGAAACCCACCCAAAGACCCCCTAGCCCTGTACCATGCAGCCTTTACCTCCCTCCCAAACAGCACAGCTCCCCAGCACCAATACATAGCCCCCAGACCAGGGGCAGGAAATTATTTTGGGCAGAGGGCTGCTTACTGAATTTTGGAAAGCCAATCGAGGGCCGCATGAGAGGCAGCCAGGGGCAGATAAATATTCATTTCCTAAATTTTTTAGGGGCCCCACGGGCCAGATAGAACGGCCTGGTGGGCCGCATCTAGACCCCAGGTCGCATTTTGCCCACCCCTGCCCCAGACCCTCCTGCACGCTTCCCCTCAGTCCTGCACAGACTACCCCAACCCCCACACTTTCTCAGATGCTCCCCAGTCCCTAGAGCCCCCTCCCCACCCTGTTCAGGGGCCCTGGCAAGGCTATGCTCAAATTTGGGACAGCTAGCTGCTTAAACGTGGGGAACAGGCAGGGAGGGGGGTGGCTCCTGGGAGAAGCAAGTGAATATATCCCATGCCTATGGAACCCAGGCATCCAATACACACAGCTCCCTGACCTCACTGCTGGGAAGGGGTATGACAGTGGCAGAGAAGTGGTTAACCCCTTTCCTGCAGCACAGGCCCCAACCCCTAAACTTGCTTGGCTGCTCTCCCAGGGGTGGAGGACAGGGGGCTGGGCCTTGGGCTCCTACTTTGTTTACAAAGGCCCTTTCCTGTTCCCAGGGTCCCTGCCCTTCAGCCCTGGCACAGGAGGGTGGGGGTAGGGAACACCCCAGTCCCTTGCACTCCCTCCCACCATGCCTGTGGGTCACCGCTATGATGCAGACAGGTAGACACGCCATGCCCCTGACCTTTCTGCACTGTGTGGTAGTGTGGGGAGGGAAGGGTAGGAGTGAGGGGCATCATCAGACTCGTGGGTGGCAGGGACTCTGGGTGCAGCAGTTTCTAGAGCAGCATTTCTCAACCTGTGGGTCACAACCAAAAGTGGGTTGCAAAAATACATAAAAGGGGTCACGAACAAAACGTTAAAAGTGAATCAAACTTAAAAAAAAAAAAAAAAAAAAACGGAGAAAAACGTGGGAAACAGTAGCTTTTCCCTTGCAGGCTGTCAAAATTCCAGCCTGTAGGGGGCTGCTTGGAGCTACCCATGCCTCCCACACACCTACCCCCTGCCTCTCACACTGCAGGGGGGGGCAGCAGCTGGGGACAGCAGGTCAGGAGTGAGGGGCACTGGGTCAGGACTGGCTATCACTCTTTACAAATGGGTCCTGGTACAATAAAGGTTGAGAACCACTGGTCTAGAGAACATCAGGACTATGCTCCGCTGTTCAGAGCATTGGTGAGGTCCCTCAGGAAGGTTGGGGCAGAGGGCATGCAGGCTCCTGGGCTGTATTCCTAGAGCTACTGCCCGATCGCTGGACCAGAAGAGTCCGATTTTCCTTTCTATGAAGTGGAAATGAAAACCCTTCAGCCATTCAGAGACCACTGTCCCAGAGCAGACATCACCTCACCCTGCACACATGCAGCACCTGGCCCATCCTGGCAACTCCAGCCTGGACAATAGCTCATTTGTTTCCTCCACATCTCTGGGCCCCTGGTGCAAGCTGCATTCAACCAGGTTGTTTAGGGAAGTGGTTCTCAACCTTTTCTGTACCAGGACTCATTTGCAAACATCAGTGACCAGCCTCAACCCAATAAATAGTTTTAGAAAACAGCCCACAAGGCCTGCCAGTGCCCCTCACTTCCAACCCACTTCCCTCTGCACTCAGCCCCCCCACTGTGTGGGGCATGGGGTAGGTGTGTGGAGCAGGGGAGGAGTTTAGGGCATGGTGTGGGCCCCACCCCCAGTAACCCCTTGCAGGCTAGAACTCTGCCAGCCTGCAAGGGAAAAGCCACAATTTCCCACATTTTTCTCCTTTAAAGTTTGTTGATCGATTTTTAAAGTGCATATATTCTTGTGACCCACTTTTAGGTCCCCACAGGTAGGGAAATCCTGCTCTAGAGTTGAGAGCAGAACAGGTAAGGTGCCCCCAGCCTCAGGCTGTCCCAGAAGGGCTCTGGCCCCTCCAAGTTAACAGATCTGAGTCCACTTGGGACTGGTCACCCTCCCTCACCATCGCCAGTTGGCCAGCCTCAGGCTCCACCAGGTGAATTGAAGGTCCCTGGTGCACCTACTTCTCCAGCACCCACAGGGCTCAGAGCTGGGAGAATTAGCCCATAGGGCCACTGGTCCTACTGTAGGATCAGTATGAGATCACTTCACAGGTGAGATCACTCCACTCTTGACCCACAAGCAGCTGCCCTACCAGTGCTCCTCACTTGCAAGCTGAAGCCCCCCACAGCCAGCCCTACAGGAACAGGGAAATGACCAGCATCATTGCTGGCTGATAGTGAAAAGTGCAGCAGCTGGGGCCTCACCAAGTAAGTGTGCACAGAGGGCAGCCCCTGCTGGACAAATAGGGAAGCACATGGGAACAGCTGGAACCGGAAAGGTGAAAAGATAGAGGACTCCAGCACTGGAAGGGGAAGAGGGTCTGGTGGATTAGAGCAGGGGTACTGCAAGCCAAGACAGCTGGGTTCTGTCCCAGCTCTGAAAACAATACGGTCAGGTAAGATAATGCAGAGGAGCTGGGTGCAGAAAGCCTGGGTTCTTTACCTACTTCTAGAAGGGAATTCAAAAAAAAATAAAAAAAAAAAAATATATATATATATATATATTCCCCTGGTTTCAGAATTTGTTTTTGCTTTCTGGTGCAAGGCATGCACTTGCCCACAACTCCCTTGTATCTCAGCTCCTCTTATGCAGACAGGTCCCTGCCCTGACTATAACCAAGTACAAGGGACACCACTAGCAGGCACAACGCGTGCGGGAGACAGGCCTCAGCAGTTGGAAGGAGGATGCAGCCTCCTGCTCTGCACCCTACCCCAGCACAACCTACACCTATAGACACAAGGCAACCCCAGCACAATCCAACTCCAGCCTCCCCTCATCCCTCTCTGAGGCCATTGGGCCCTGGGAATGAATCCATCCTGGGCTAGAAAAAATGTGGTTTAATAGAGTAATTTTTTTCTTTTTTTCCTTTTTTCTTTTTTTTGGTTTTTTTGGTTTTTTTTATAATTTAAATAACTTAGACTGAAAAAGACGGGGCCAGTAGCAAAGTGTCGTAACAAAAAGGTGGGAAGAGAAAGGACAGCCCCTTGCGCTGGCCAGACCTCTGTGCCTGCCAGACCCCCTTGCCTGCACCGCCGCCCAAGCCCAGTCCGTGTGTCTGCACCTAGAGCCGCCGCAGTGCCCGTTTCTTCTCCGTCTTCTTCTTGGCCACCAGCTTCTTGTCACGGTCACCAGCGTGCTTCTTCGCCATGGGCCCGTCCACAGATGTAGGGGTGGGGGCACCACCCAGGGCACTGGCAGAGGAACAGGGGTCAGCAGGGTCACGCCGGGCACTGCACACTTGGGCATGGATCTCTGTGAGCAGGCGGGCACGAGCTGCATATTCATCATAGTTCTCCAGCAGGAGGCGCCCTGCCTCCTCATTCAGCGCTGACTCAGGGTTGGGGTGGATCAGCAAGCACTTGATGGTCTGCAGAGAGTAGGCATAGGGTTAGGCTGGCCTATCCCCTCCCTGTATTAGATACACGAGTTGCCACAAAGGTGCTGGGCTGAGGCCCAGCCCAAGTCAAGTGGGCCCAGATGGCAGGGACCCTATGCTGGCAAGCACCTGGACTCCCAGCTCTGCTCCCTCCCCGCACACATTTTGAGGCCCCAAAGGGTAGAATGCCAATCCCACAGCCTCCTCCTGTGCCCTACACCTCCAGATCTAGATCGTGTCCCCTCACCCCATCACTACAGGCAAATACAAGTTAAGCACCTCAGAACCAGACTATACTGCATCCCCTAATAAGCCCCCCCGGTGGGCCTCACCAATTTTGCTGCCTGGCTCCTGTCCCAGGGACTTGCAACTAAGTGAGGGCCCTTTAGAGCAGTGGTTCTCAGCCTTTTTTGTACCATGACCCATTTGTAAACATTGATGGCCAGTCCCAGTCCAGTGCCCCTCACTCCCAACCCACTGTCCCCCCAGTGTGAGGGGCAAGAAGTAGGTGTGTGGAGGGCTTGGGGGGTCCTAAGCCGCCCCTTGCAGGCTGGAACTCTGGCAGCCTGCAAAGAAAAAACCTAGTTTTCCATGTTTCTCTCTTTTAAAGGAGAATCCATTTTATAAGTTTGCTGATCCATTTCTAAAGTTTGTTTGCGGCCCTTTCATATATTCTTGTGACCCACTTTTGGGTCATGACCCACAGGTTGAGAAACGCTGCTTTAGAGTGCCTGGGTGTGGGCAGGTCCAAGGCCCTGACTGGTGGGGGGAGGCAGGCAAAGAACAACTGGAATCGGGCAGACGGGTGCTCAGAAGGGAGGATCACTGAAAACTTCTGCTACAGTGCTCCATGCCAGGGGGTCCATTCCCTCTACAGGGTTCTGCTGGGCCCTTACTGAGAAAGTAGTGCTGGGCATCGCCAGCTGGCAAATCTGGGCTGCACCCAGCCCAGCTCGCACAGGTAGGTACTTCTTGCAGCTGATACTGGGCAGAGGTACCAGTCAGAGGAGTTTGCCATAGAGGGCTGTAATCCTAGGGGAACAATCCAAGCATGACCTTGCTTCCTCACTCCCAGCTTGGCCCTATAGAAGAGGTTGCTCAGCCTGCACTTTTTGGGGTGCACTGGACCAGCTGCACTGGTGACAGCGTAGGATTAAGCAGCATCTGCAGGACCCACAGGGCACAGGGGGACTTAAGGGTGTGTGGACTTGCCTCAGCCTGAGCCACCCACTTCTCATCACCCTCTTAGACATTAGGAAATGTGGGTGGGTCCTCCCCGACTCCCCCATCACAGGAGTCTTTACTCAGTAGCCAAAGTCATTTTCAGCTTCTGGCCCCAGAACAAAGGTGCCCTGGCTACCCCCTGTGATCCATCCCACCCTCCACGTGAATTGGGAGCAGAGAGCAGCCCAGGTGTAGGGAGCCATGACCAGCCCCACCAGGGGCAGTCCCCTCCCC